GTTTCACTACCTAATTAATACTTGAGACACTTGTCACTAGTTTATTAGCTTATGTCGCATGTGTCTAGGCCACACATGTGTAAATACCTTTATATTCTCACAAGGACAATTTTGGGGGATGGATATAAACCCTTAATCTCTAAGTCTTAAGGATACAACCCCTCTCTCTCTCCTCCCTCCTCTCCTCCCTCTCCTCCTCCATCCTTCACACCCTACTCTTGGGTCCCTCCGATTGTGACGAATATGAACTCATTTAACTCCCCACCTATACTAGCCAATGAAATTTTCCTTGTGTTGACGAATGGTAATAATTTAAAATCAAATAAGTGAAGTAGTCACGGTTTGATCACGATCATACACACACAATCTAAAATTAAACTTTAATACTAGGGTCCACTAGCCTGGTTTTCAATGGATTGGAAGCCATGCTTCTTTTATCTTTTTCAACTTTAATACCAAATGATCTCGGATCAAGGTACGAGAGAATATAAGGATAATAAATTCAGGTCTTATTCCAACCCTGGATTAAAATAAAGAGTAATGTTAATTAGAGTTAAATTACTAGTCTAATTTAATGACATCATCAATCTCTATCATTTGATTTATTGGATTTCAATATTGATTGTGACTCGTTACTTGTAGATAGTCACGAACTAAGATAATAAATTATATCAACAAATTAAATTTAAATAATATTAATATAAAATAAAAAAATTAGCTAATTATTCAATTATTCAAGCATGTACCATGTTGTATTTCAACCAAAGGAAACTCAATGGTATTGGAAAAAAAATTTTATATCGATATCGCCGATTATTATTTTGTATGGTAAAGTTACAATTTTGAAAGGAGAAATTACAATTGTTCAAAAGATGTCATGATTAATTACAAACACCCGTGATCAATCATGAATAATGCGATATTGATATCAATATTCCATGATCGATCATACCATTTAAAATTGTAACTTATATCTCAAAGAAATTATACCTTTCCCGTATAAAATTGTAATTTTTTGTACCAGTACCGCAGTTCCCCCAACCAAACACCTCTAAAAATTCATGGCTCCGGTGTATTGTGATTCTCGGACAAACTACCTGTAATAAAAAGGCCTTACAAAACCAGACTTCTATGTAGTCATGTAAACACTATATCCAAATTAATTTTTTTTTTTTTGGGATCTAAGTTTGTACTGACTATTCTCCCGAGCTCGAATACTAACTATTATAGATTGAGCAAATTTTGAACATGTCTCATGAGAAATAAGAATGAACAGCTCTAAGAATACGAAAAATATTGTACTTGAGATATTTAGGTTATCAGGGACCAAGTTCAGTCATTGAACTACTCCTGCAGGTTCAGATAAATTTACCTTTTCATCAAAGGTCATTATTGCTAAAATTTAGGAAAGAACTCCCAATCTAATTTGGAAAGGTCGGCTTCAATGCACATTCAAGCTCGGCCAGAAAGACTTAAATATCTTCTCCAGCTCCTACTTAGTTAGGGGTGCTAGTTTTTGACACAACACAATAATACGATTCAAAATTGATACGAAATTAACACGTTAAAATTAATCATTTCTCAACATAAATCCGCTTATGACACAACTTGTTAACACAAAAAAGAAATAAGTTGGGTTAATATCAAACATGAATAATAAAAAATTGACATGATTCATAAATTGAAGTAGTATTATAAAAATAAAATACTATTTTTTTATTATATTTTTCCAAATAGTGAATTAATTCTTGAAAAAAATATTATCCTCATTTATTATTATTATTATATTTATTTTACTCATTTTTTTTAGTTTATAAAAAAAAATATGACCATAAGTTCGATTAAGTAATAATGAAATTTTAGACATAAAATTGATTTTAAATTTTTTATATACGGGTTATATTTTTCAATACGAATGACACAAAAATAAATAAATTAACACCATTATTCAACCGAGTTAGAAATAGAATTGACTAAAATTCGGCCCGAACGATACGACCGGACTCTCACCACTAAACTCAGCCCAATAAACGTTGCTTTTTGGAGAAAACACCCCCAATTCTAATTAGGAAAAGTTTGATTTCCGAGCAACTTCAACCCACAAATACTATCCCGCGTATAATCAATTACAAAAAATCTTATTAGGAAAGGTTTGGAAAGTAAAGGATTAGTACTAGTATGATCAAGCTAGAACTCCCATTCCTCCTAAAAATCAAAAACCAGTTAGGTTCTCTGCTATATATGCATATGGGTTCTTCTTCTCTTTTACTTTTCAACAATTCGCCCTTAACAAACAACAAATTTCTTACTCCGCCATTGACAGCTGATATGACGAAGGGTATTGAACCCGATCCTTCGCTTGATAAATTCGAATGGCTAGTAATGGCTGCGATGATCAAATACGATGAAGAAAAGTTGCAAGAAAGTAGGGTGGAGGATCAGCAGCCACCGCCTGTTACCGGCCAACCCACCACGTCCGGTGACGACGAGTCCTCTGAAAAGCCTTCTGTGTCAGGTTCAGTTCTTCAATGTTCCAACAAGGGAAAGAAGCCGATGGTATTAGACGATACAGACTTGTATTACAATCAAGATGCACCTGATGAGTACTTCAATCAGATGTTATCTCAGGTGCTCGAGCTTGAGCTTGAACCATCGATGGTTGAAAGGGCGATGAAAGAGAAGGCATGGGTGAGACCTATTATGATGACAAACCCAATCCTCAAGGGTAAGTCCGAGGCAGAGAAAGAGAACTCATCGACAAGGCCTGAAATGGCATACCCAGAGGGTGTGTGCAGAGAAGAGAATGTGAACAGGGAAAGATTGCTAAAGAAAACTCAGGCGAACGAGTTCTTCGGTAGGCCTTTCTCTGGTGTGCTTGATATATCGAAGGGTGAAAGGTTGACGAAAGAGAAGTCTTCGAAGAGGGCTGTTATGGCATACCCAGATGGTATTTCCAGGGAAGAGGTCCTAAGGAGAGAGAGATTGCTCAAGAAACCAGTTGTAGAGATCCCAATAAAGATGTCTCCAAAGGATTTGAAACGACACAAATTTGAATTTGATGACAGTGATGAAGATTATAGGGTAAAGAAGAAGAATAAGATCAGCAAGAGTGTGACGAAAAAAGTTACCGATCAGGGTCCAAATCCACCACCCCCATTGCCTATTGAATTCAGAGAACGTATTTGCGAGATGGGTGGTTCGGAGAAGGACGCTGTGTTGGTGATACAGAAGCCATTGTTTTCGACAGACACAAGTTCTGGTCATAACCGCTTTTCGATTCCGTTGAGACAAGTAAGGTCTGAGTTTCTCGACGACTCTGAGAAAAACTACCTTAAAAATCATAACGGGAAGGCTGTGGCTGCCATGGAAGTGACCTTGATTGGTCCCTCGCTTGAAAAGTGGAAAGTAGGGTTCAGGAGGTGGGAGATGAAGAAGGAAACAGGCAAAACTAGCTCATGTTATGTGATAAACTCTACGTGGAGAATGATTCAGAAAAAGCATGGTCTTAAACCAGGAATGGTTATGCAACTATGGGCGTTTAGGGTTAATGGAGAACTGTGTTTTGCTCTCGTCAAGCTTCCAAGAGGAGGAGGAGGGGGAGGAGGAGGAGGAGGTAGTGGTGGTAGCAATGGCGATGGAAGTGGTCCAAGTACTGATCATGGTGAAGACAAGACATCACCACCTTCTTCATCCGAACCAGGGCACTATTAGGGTTGATTTACTTTTGAACCTATTTGTTTATCTAGCAATTAGAAGTATATATATGAGGCTTTTTATTTGCAGAACTTCTAGTTTTTAGGTTTCTTCTGAAAAACATGATTTAATTTCTGCGTAGAACGAACTATGAATGTTTATATTTTTGGTTAATCCTGGTACAATCTTTTAAAATCAAAAATCCATTTTGAGTCTTTCATCCGATCTAAATAGCTTAATTAGTTTCGAATGTTGATCTTTTAAAATCAGAAATCCATTCTGAGTCTTTCATCCGATCTAAATAGCTTAATTAGCTTCGAATGTTGGCATTTTACTTCCGTTTTCAATTAAATTTTATTTACTATTAACTAAATTTTCATCAAATATTTATGTGCAATCACGTACAATTCAGATCAGAATAGATATTGATAAGTCTAAAACCCGAATCCTGAAAATTTAGATCGGAGCAGATTTGTTCATCTGATCAGTCATTGTCTTTAGATTAATGGCGGACCCTAATATGATCGGGACTAAGTACCAATTTTAGGACAATAGTACATAGCATTATATCCATAACATTTTTCCAGCAGTTATCAGCTACCCGAAAGTGAACAGTAACACCATGAGGAGCAGAACAGTAACACCATTGATCGTACGTAGCATACTAATTATGTTGATCTTAATAGCACGTTAATCTTTGGAACAGTGTAGTAAACCTTATGGAGCAGAAGATATGGAAAGGGAAATAGAACAATTAAAAACGTCGTACCTCCTTGGCTCCAATGAAACTATATATGCAAAAACAATGAAATTACTGCAGGTCAAAGATGTTATTGCAAGTTGGTATGGAGGTCAGCATTAGCAGATGTAGTAATTGTAAGAGGGAAGTTAAAAGTAGTGTGCCATTGAATTGATATTCATCGTGTTCAATTGCAGCTTATGGAATGGAAGAATCTCTGATTCCGACTACATTGCATGAAAAATATGTAAAATTGAAGCTAATTGCCCAATTGATCTAAATCATTGGTTTGGCAGGTACATATTCGAGAATTGGATGAACCTGAAATCGACACACAGCAAGTAGTAGTGGTCACCTTGCGTCTTATATGATTAATCTACTATCAATGCTTTCTTCACCACTTCATATTTCTCTAAGAAAGTAAGAACAAGCAAGAACACATAGTTTGAAACAAGAAACGATGCAATTCTCTGTTGCAGGGTATAAATAGGAGTGGAACAAATTTGCTCTGTGATTATAGTTTGAGAAGACTGATGCAGGGTAGATACTGAGAAGTTTCAAAGGGCTTCTAAAAATGAATAGTGTGTTTCTTTGTTGTATTTAAGAGGTATGAATATGCGAATGTGGCATGTATTGCTGCCCCAATTGGAAGCACATCCTCATCAATGGTGAAGTAAGGACTATGTGGAGGGTGCATAGATCCAGTCCTTTCATTTCTTATACCCAAAAAAAGGAAGGATCCAGGTACCTTTTCTAAGTAAAAGGCGAAATCTTCACTCCCCAAGAAGGTAGGAGTTAATTTTGTGTTTTCTCTGCCGACAATCATACTCGAGACCTGTTGTACCTGTTCAAATATTCTGTCATCATTTATGGTTGGGGGAATTGTGGGGTGTTCCTTTCCAAAGAAGTCAATTTCAGCTGAGCACCGATGAACAGCAGCTTGCCCTCTTATAACCTGATGTGCATAAATCATTATGTATTATTATGCATACAGAAAACAACATGAACATAATTGTGTATCACAAAGCTTGTTTATCAGTTACCTCTTCTATTCTTTTTCTTAGCGCATAGAAGCTCTTCTTGCTGAATGCTCTATATGTACCAGCCATTGTAGATGAGTCAGGAATAACATTATATCCAGTTCCTCCTCGAATCATTGTTACAGAAACCACCTGCAAGATCCAATTCCACAATGTGTGAAAACACAGTTTGATTGAGTTCAATCAAATGAACGACATAATCTGATTAAGACATCATGGAAATGGTCAAAGAGAAATCATACTTGAGGATCTAAAGGGTCTGTCTCTCGGGAAACAATATTCTGCAAGCTAATTAGAGAACTAGAAAGTGCTAGTATGGGATTAATGGACTGTTGTGGCATCATTGCCTGACCCCCTTTCCCTCTGATTGTTGCTTTGAAGCTCCCACACCCGGCTAGAAACTCACCTGGCCGAGCAGCCACCGTACCAATAGGATACCTGTGCACTATGTGCAAACCAAATATGGCCTCTACATTTTCGAGCACCCCTTCGTGGATCATGTCTTTTGCACCTTCACCCTGTTCCTCGGCTGGTTGAAATATAAGAACAACAGTTCCCTACAAGAGAAAATGTTGTATTAGATTTGAGACTATGCTGGGAACTAATGAGTTGTATAATTTGAATGCTGTTGCTTAATAAACGCATTCACCTGTAATCTGTCCCGGAATTGTTGCAGTATCCTTGCAGCACCAAGAAGCATGGTGACATGTGCATCGTGTCCACAGGCATGCATTTTTCCATCTACTTGGCTCTTGTGCTCCCATTCCACCATTTCCTACATATAGCAGTGTGTTTTTGTTAAGATCTTCAAGCCAACTATAGGTAAGTCTGAGACAACACATACTACATTATAATCTAATGGTGGATAAATTCAATGAATGAACATCACTTTCGATTATTGCTATTCATGAGCTCAATTTGGCCCTTGCTCAATAAATTTCCAGTTCCAAGTGAACTAAAATCCAGTATCAGGCTCACCTTCTTCTCAGAATTATGTTTGGCAGTCGGTGGAACTATAATCCTAGATTCCCTCTTCCTCATAAATTAAATCCGTGATAAGGTAAAATGGAAGGAAATGTCTCAATATTATGCCGTCATGTTACAAAATAGGTCAGTAACATGAATTCCCTCTTCCCCTGTGGTTTGCAAGCCAAACTGAAACCAATACTTGCATGCATCTCCTGCTATTGAAGTCAGCACATTAAAACAAGCCACCAGTGCAGTGACACATACACCTTCCAGCACGACTAGCCGCTACCATTTGTATTTGGTTTCTCCCTCTACTTTCTCATTGCGTTTTTCGGTTTCATTTGTCCCCTTTCATGCAAGGTAAAACAATATGATATGAGTGTTTGTTCTGCTTTCACCAAGGGGCAAACAGATGAAATAGAATTGCTAATCTATTTCACCAACTCTTTGTTAAACAGTTAATCAATAAAACTTGTTCTTTCTCAACTGTTCATTAAATTAACAGAAGGCAACAACAAAGTGAGATCATTCTATTCTACTATAGTTTCACTCAATTTTATTCAACAATAGTTCACCTACAATGAATTCAAATAAAAAAACCCATGTATTTCCCCCATCAAAACACTCTTGGTAATTTACCCTCCAAAAATAATTGAGGAAAACCTGGATCAGGCAAGAACCACTTTTTGGTGGGCACAACTTAATTCATAATACCCATTTATTGGTAGCTATTGATCACTAAAAGTTGCCTCAAAGCTCTGTATTATATAGACCTCTTCAAACACAGCATATTATCTAAACTATGGTTTCGCCTATAATACAAATGAACTGACCTGAATAGGCAAGGCATCCATATCTGCTCTCAGCTACACCCCACTGAAATTTTTAAATCCTGTCTCTAATAAATTTTTAATAAAATAAAGAGTGAGTTAGTGTAATTTTTAAACAATCAAAACGTAACTTTGACATCCTCATATTTCATGCCGTTCATGTTCGTTCGATCTCAGTAAAGGAAGAAGGAGGAGGCGCCAAAACCTTCTCGTGTAACCTTCCTACACAAACGAGTTAACCAAAATTATTAAATTGGGAGTAGTTTAGGGTTTATTTCGGGTTAGATCTGATTAATTTGACAGGTGACAATCAATCTGATCAAATTTAAATCGATTTCTAAAAATCTCTACTCAAATATTGAACTTTTTTAGTGAAGCTCAAATTAACCATATCAAATTACAACCTCACTAGTGAATAATTTTTAGTATTTATTGGGTTAAAAGAGATTTTTTGCAAGTTTTTTTTTTGTCACATCTCGTGTATCTATGCTATATCCGTAAAGAGAGATTTTAAAGAAATCAAATTAAAAAAATTCTAAAAATTAATATTTCAATGAAAAATATCAATAATGTTATTTGAATTTAATTTGTTGACCTAATCTTTTACAACCATTGGGTTGACTGCACGTCCTAACAAATACTATGACCTATTATTAATCCAATGATTATAAATGACTAAATCAATAAATTAGATTAAAAAATTATATTCAAGTAACATTGCTCAAAAAATATTTACATTATAGTTTTTATCAATTACTTAGTTTTATTGCCCCCACTGCCAAACTTGTTTGCTCCGCCCCTAGCTTGTTGTTTATATTATGATGCTGATCTTTTTTATATATTTAAATTACTAAATATTGGGAAACTTTTGGGGTCATTTAAAATTTATGGGATCCCCTAATTTTTATACACTAATAAAATGTAATCTTGCTTTTTAAACAGCCACTTAGGTGGGTGGACACTATAAAATAAATTTGAGGAATGTTACATCGATATATAACTGTACATTCATTTGTTAAGCAAAAAAAAAGAAAAAAATTCTAGGTCGACCAGAGACCACTCTAGTCCAAGGTAGTTTACTAGTTGTAGATAATGAATATTGTAACACTGCCACATAGATGGTCATGTCGATAGGTCACCCCGAAGGACTCTAAGTAGGTTGTGGTTGGTTGTTAAAAGGGAGTTTTAGCTTGAGAAAAATGTCACACAGACTTGTTGTGTCATCGTGCTCAAGCCACCATGTGGGGTCCCATTATAATTGGAGTCTATAGATATAGTTTTGAGAAATTTGGAGACTGGTCCCACCGGATGGACTTGTTTGAAGATAAGTCTTACAAGAAAACTTATTTGGTTTGAAATTCATTTTTTGCTACTTTTACTATTATACCCTTATTTAGTAGAAAATTCCAAACGACGTTTAACTTACTGTTTGTTTACAAGACGAAAAAACCTTTCGTTGCCGTTTGTAAGTAGGCGTGTAAACAAGTAACTTCCCCTACATTCTTGGCTACTAATTCAGCAATTTCCTCAAATCTTTCTCATGCTTCTACTCCCAAAGATCCATCCGCCATTACCCAACCGATTTTATTGCAAATTGTAAACTTGTTTCAAACAAGAAAATCAAAAAGCGGTTTTACTTTTCAAATTTCATTGGCGAAAAGCTACAGTTGGTGTATTCTTGAAATCTTCAGAAAGTTTTGGCATTCTTTAAAAATTTAAAAGGTATGTAATTTTACATAAACTTTGATGTTTTTTTAGGGTTTTAAAACTACATTTACAACCTATATCATTCATACTGTCTAATTTTTTTTTTAAAAAAATTTGAAAATAATATTGTGAGTTTTTGTTACTATATAAAAGAGTTGGGTATTCTGATTTGATTTTATTTTTTTTTTCATTTTGTCATACATTCGAAATTGATTGGTGTGCTTTCTTTGAAATTTCTAATTTTACTGTGAGCAATTTTCAAAATTTATTATGTTATTGTCGATACATTGATGTTATTGATTTGTATTGAGTGTCCTAAATCAACCATTAACATTGTGTTACCGTAAATTCATAACAACAACATCAATTTTTGAATTGTTTTTTTACTATCAATATTTTGAAATTCGATGTTATTGTGCTCAATATTACCTTAGGACTAGAGTTGTTCATGGTACTGTTACTTAATCAATGTGTTATACAATTTACTGTGTATATATTTATTTTTTTTGCTTTATCCATTGGTCAAGATATTCGAAAACCAATAGTTCAAGCATACATTGAAATTTTTCAGTGTGATAACTAGATAAATGATTTCATATTTTTAATGTTTGGATGTGCTTGGGTACTGTGGATGTTACTAACAATTTGGTGATACTGTAAACATGTTACTGATCAAACCATTTGTGTTTTTAAAATTTTAATGTAGCATATGTTGTTTATGAAGAGTACAGGGGTTGTTTTTTGATTTTTAATGTAAAATGGAAACACAACGAATATGCAATGGAATCAATCGTATATTGAAAATTGAAGTTACTAAATTGTGTTTGTCATGATGTAACTTAGAAAATGTTACTGTGCTCAATATGACCTTGGGACTAGAGCTGTTCATGTTATTGTTACTTAATCAATGTGTTATACAATTTGGTGTGTATATTTTTTTTTTTTGGTTTTGTTCATTGTTCAAGATATTCGAAAACCAATGGTTGAAGAGTACATTGAAATTTTTCAGTGTGATAACTGAATAAATGATTTCATATTTTCAATGTTTGAATGTGCTTGGATACTGTGGATGTTACTAACAATTTGGTGTTACTGTGAACATGTTACTGATCAAACCATTTGTATTTTTTAACTTTTAATGCAGTATATGTTGTTTATAAAGAGTGCAGGGGTTATTGTTTGATTTTTAATGTAAAATGGGAACATAATGAATTTGCAATGGAATCAATCGTATATTGAAAACTTAAGTTACTGAATTGTGTTTGTTATGATGTTACTAAGAATATGTTGCTGGGATTTAGTTTATTAGTAAGTGTTACTATGCTCATGTTACAAAGCTAATGTTATTGTCTGTTGTTTATCAATTAATATTTCAAATGTTATGTTATAGGTTGACGGAAAAAAAAGGTAAATCTACTATTCCAAAAGTAAATTCATTTCACCAATTCCGGTCTAATTTGCTTCCATTGGTGAAGGTTATAACTGACCTAAACATCACAGATATTCACAAAGAACAACTAAAAAGAACATCATTTTGGCATCTGTTTAACACAATATCAACAACTAAAATGGATAAAGAATGGTTCAAAAAAAAATGACAAGAGTATTGTGGACATAATTACAATGTTTGATGGTGAAACATCAATATTCTGTATTGGTGGAAAAGGTCTGAAGATACGGAAGGCTGATGTAACACTCATTCTTGATATAGAAGATGGTGTCGATCCAATTCTTTCCCTTCAAAGTGCAAAAAAAAAATTCACCATTTGTTAGGAGGAGATTTAGTAAGACCAATAGGTTGAATGCATCAATTATAAAAAAACTGGTTGGAAGAGGCAACAACGGGTGTTGGTAAGGATGATTGTGAAGATTTTGCTAGGTTATTCTCTTTGTGTGTCTTAATGACACTACTAATTACAAATATGGGGCAAATGATTGAATGGGGATATGTGTTGTACATAAAAAATCTGGATGAAATAAAAAAATACGAATAGTCTCAAGCAACTATTGATGCAATGATGAATTCCATACGGTTGATGTTTGAAAACCTGAGTGCAATAACCGATTATGTACTACTGTTACCAATAAGTTTTATATTGATAATTAATTTGATTTTTTTTATTTTTTCATTAAACACTATCTGTTCTTTTTAATGTAACTATATCTAAATTGCAGTACTAGATATGTGAACACATGTTTATTATTGTGCTCGACAAGGCGAATGCATTTCCACTGTGGATGAAATGAGACTTAAGAAAACTTTGGATGACTCTCTCACAAAACACACTGTCCAACATAGTAGCTAATCAGGTATTATTTGAAATTTTGTTCTTTCGTATTTAAATTATTTTTGACAATTGCTTAATTGCATGACAATGTTAAATTTATCATCAATGTTACTGTATCAAATTGATGTTACTATTGATGATATTAACAGAAAAATGAATGTTCCTGTAGAAAAATTGATGTTACTATGGCTATGACTGTGTAATTCACAGTCATTAGATTCAATTTTTTAACGTTACTAATTATGTTGTCAGGTCTTCCAAAGAAAACTAAAAAAAACAGTTGATGAGAAGAACTTAATGAAAGCAATTCAAAAAAATTCCAAGAATGTGACGGCTAATTGAGGTTCCACAACAAATCACTTTTGCAAGCAAGACTGCTTTAAATTCTGAATTGGAATATGATGGTGAAGAATCTAATGTAGTTGTTGATGATTATACTATGGTTAATGAAGATGTCATTGAAAGTGATGATGCAGTA